GGAACATCAGGCATCACTAATGATATGTCCCATCCTGGAGCTCAGCTCCCACACAGAATGCACTGTGTTAAACAGTATTACACTCATTGGCATTGGAAGCACTGTTTTTCTGATCATTTGCCGAAATAAACCAGTGGTTCCCCACAGCAGCATCACATGAGGCACAGGTGCTAAAGTGTCAAGAAGGAACAAAAAGGTGGGTTTCAGGGCCAGTTTCTTTACTGCAACACTTTTCAGAGCCTTTGTTATGTTGCTGTGAGTTTTGAATCTCTGAAGGGATTTAGAATATGTTAACCACACTATAATGTATTTTTGCAAAGTCAGACCAGTTCTGTGAGGCTCCCATGAGAAACACTCGGATAAAGCCATTTCCTTTTCCTCTCTGCTCACTCAAATCTACCTCTGAAATGCCATTCCCGACTTCCTCTCCTCCCTAGATGGCAGCATTGGTGCAAACCAGTGCTGAGCTATTAATCCTAGTTGAGACTGGACATTTTGTATGAGGATGATTATAGCTATGAGCCATCAAGAACATTTTTAATATGTTAACAGCTCTGCTTAGCAAAAGCAGGTAGTCAGTATCCCCAAGTAAGAGACATAATGAGAAGAGATTCCCCTGGCCACCTGAATCCAAGGGCATAAACACAAAGACACATGCATGAGCAAAAACACTTCCCAGAGAGGCACCATATCGTTAAGAGTCACAGTCAGTTTCACACTGAAATTAGCATTTCACTTTTTAAATATTAGGAAAATATTTTTTTGTTTCAGTTTTTGTTTCAAACTAGTAACTGGGAACAAGAGCAAAGCACCACATCAGACCTGCCTCCTTTTAGCTGTCAGGTGGATGTTTTGATTTGTAGGTGTTCTGGAACTGGCTATCTCTGAATGCAAGACCTGAGGAGCATTCCAGTTGTGATTCCAGCCTGGAAGAAGTCTCTGAACCCTCCAGTGGGGATCTACATGATAATTGGAATGGCACTAGATAAGTCTATTTTGAAAGCTGGGAGGGGGGCTGGGGATTTAGCTCAGCGGCAAAAGTGCCTGCCTGGAAAGCGCAAGGTCATGAGTTCGGTTCCCGGTACCGGAGAAAAACCAAAAAAAAAAAAAATAAAAATAAAAAAAATAAAAAAATGAAAGCTGGGAGGGATGAAAAAGCCTGCTGTCATTAAAACAATGCTCAAAGATTCCTTAGGTCAACCCTTTACGGCAGGGAAGCCAGGACTGGGAAATTAGAGTCCTTTAGAAGCTTCTTTGGTTGTAAGCAACAGAAAGCAACTCTACTGAAAATTCATGTCTGGATAGGCTAAGGATGGCTCACCAGACTGAGCAGAAAGACTCAGGAAGGCAGTAAATTGGAGGCACAGGGTCCTTAGAACTAAGGGCTTATGTTTATCCTCTCTAAAATGCTACTCATGGGGCTGGGGATATAGCTCAGTGGCACAAGTGCCTGCCTAGAAAGTGCTAGGTCCTGAGTTCGATTCCCAGTACCAATAAATAAATAAACAAATAAAATAAAATGCTACTCAGCTGTCTTCCAACTTCCAAGAGTGAGACTGGCATTGGCTCACCTTGGCCAGGTGTCTCCCATTGGCCCTACTCCTGTACAGAGATTTTTCCCTGTGAAGGGAGAGATTTCCTAAGTGGGGTCAAATCCAGACATAAACAGAGAGTGGATAACCATCAATATGACCTACTGACACTGAGCTGGGAAGCATGGGACATACCATTAGAGATAAAGTGAAGGAAGGTAAGGGAATGGTGAGTTTAAAGAAAAGGACAGTGTCTTGAGAAAGTCAGAGTGGATAAAAAGAATGTTCCAGAACACTCCAGTGCATGGAGTACGCCTGGACAACAAGCTTGCGGCTTTAGTTAGAAAAATTTTTGAGGAGAAGGCAACTCCTTTAGGGCTCTGTGGATTCATAGGACAGCCAACTCTTTGACTCAAATTCTACCCCTTAAATTCCTACAACAGATGCCAATAGCTTGCTCTATACTTCTATTTAACCTATGTCCCATTTTGATTTGTGTTTTAATTAAATTGGGTTTGTCACAGACACCACTGCCTGTCACTGCAACCACTATCTTTTAACCTTTTTCCAAACAGGCAGGGTCCACTTCCTACAGAGGCTGAAACTGCTGGATACTAATTTTTCTAGGACCCCCTAAGTCCTGGCAGTGGCCATGTAACATAACTAGAGCCAATTCATGTAGAGGGAGTTTTTCACAGAAGTTCTGGGAAATATGTCTTTCCCTGATAAAGAGAGACCCATAGTTGAGTTATTTTGTCATGTGACTGTGCCTCTATCTCTGCTTCTCTGTCTCTGTCCCTGCTTCTCTCTCTTTCTTTTTTCTATCTCAGAGATAGTCTTTACTCTGTTTCCAAGTGGTTTTGAACTCATGAGCTCAAACAATTCTCATGTCAGCACTCTCAATAGTTGGGACTATTGATACCTGCTACCCCACCTGAGTTCTCTCAACCTATGAGCATTGCTGGACAAGGATATGATTCCTGAGGATGCTGCAGTCACTTTGAAACCATGGGGAGAGTCTCAGTGGCCTACTGAAGATAGTGGAGCAAGAGGATGGAACTTATTTATAATATTAATAAGCCCTACCAGTCAAGTTGCTGCCAGTTGGGTGTTTTATTAGCTGCACTTAAAGCATCTCCATGGAAATAACTGCCCAAGGTAAAATCAAATAATCTTACATAAAAATAAAAATGAAGATTTCTCACTTCTTTCAAAACAATCAAAAATATCCAAAAACCCTAGCTTTGCCTTCTTGTCCTGTAGGCGAGATCAACACGGAGCAAAGAGGCGCAACACCATTTCCCTGAGGTGTGTGGTCTTGGTTTCTCCAAAGTCTCTACTCTTCCCTGATGTCCCTGGCCTACACCTCTCACTGCAGTCCTTTCCAATCATTTGAGGTAGAGGTGTTGACCCGCATGACTGCTGATCTCCAGTAAGGACTCAGCAGGTTTACTCAGTGAAAGAGGGAAAACCCTGGAGCCCACAGCTTCCAGGATGGGCTCTGACCATTCACGTAGTCTGCACCCTGTCTTGCCAAAGAGATGGAATTGGTAACCCTTTATATGCAGGAAAGCTCAGGGCCCAAGGGGCAAATGCCCCCATTCACAGTCATTTTATTTGTGCACAATGATGTTATATTTCCTTCACATTAATGGAGCATGAAATTAAAACATATGGCCCCACAGAAACACCTGCCTTTTGTGAACTGGCTTTCGTTGTTAATTATGACTCCTAAGGCTCCTGCCATTTGCTTCATGTTATTGTGTCCTTTGTAATTTTAATTACATTTTAATCAAGGCTTTTACACAGCCTGTTCTAGGGCTTTCAGTCTAATTATCAGCATTAACAATATTCTGTTCTTTGTTACTTTGTAAAGTCCTTCCAGGCCATGTTAAGTATTTATCTTAAATTTACACCACATGGTACAGAATTTTAAGTGACCATTAACTGAAATGCAATTCTTTCCCTTTCCTTCTGCCTGCTAAAGTGGAATTTGGGCAAAAATAGAATGAAATAACTATGTGGACTCTATTAGTGCTTCCTTTTCCTTAATTCTATGTTTTTGCTTTATTTTTGACAATTGTGGGATTTTTATTAAATCTGAACATTAATCTTTCAGTTTGATATGGATTTAGCTTTGGATTTAAAATTATGTTTTATGAATTAGTACAATTTAATTTTTAAAGTACCTCTCATTCATTTTCAAAGTTGCTTGGAAGTGTAGCTCTGTCATTTTAAAAAATCAATGATTTGACTTTGGATGGAAACCAATTCAGGGCTTCCCCTCCCTCACACCACCCATGGGACAAGCACAGCGTTCTGTGCCAAAACCGGTTTGGAAGGGCCTCCGCTGAAGATACTGCACTGAGGCTCACCGACCACAGTATTTTCATGGTGCTACCTGTACTCTAGGGTAAAGACCCTAGCAGAGTTGACTGATCAAAGGCAAACCATAGTTTGCCTTTTGGGTTTTACCAACCCCAAACCACATGGATGACATTTATATAGCCACTCAAATGTTTGAAAATGCAGTCTCCTGCACTAACTGCTGGGAATAGACTCTCTGGACACTAAAGATGCATTAACTTGAAGTATTCAGGCCCAGGAACGTGGAGAGCCATGTGGTACATCTGACCAGAGGTGAACAAACAATGCTCTCAGGTTTGAAAAGAACAAATTGGCCACAGAGCAGAGTGTTCTTGATGCAGACTGAAAAGATTAATGTTGACTGGCTGCATTCAACAATGCAAAGAGCTGAGCCAGAAACACAGTGTCCTCCACATTTTGTTCTTGTGCCTTCTCCCAGAGACCTACCACAATGATGCGTTCTGCCAGAGCGGAGCAGGACCATGCCACCATCCTAACACACTTTAAAGCAGAGCTCTGAAAAACACAGGTCCTACAGGGGAAAAACTCTCACCCCTCAAGTTACTTCTTGCCCCAGTGGTCCCCCAGCTACTCCCTTGATATTAGCCCATGGCAGTGGTTTTCTCATTTGTCTTTCACCACTTACACAGTCACACCACACCCTGGTGTGCTATAGAATTCTCTGAACAAGGCTTAACTACATATATACTGACTCCCACACCTAGACTAGAACACTGGAAGATATTGTACCTAGAAATTCAGAGACACCTGAAGTGACCTTTACAGTGAACTTCTCCCTAACACGAGTACTCTGCCTCTTTATTTTCTTTCTGCTTTGTACAAGTTTAAAGATGGAGTTATTTACCTCATACCCTTCTGAATTAGTGATTCAAAAGCCCTGGAAATGTCACAGCTATAGCTATAATTTCAAAACCCATTTCAGAAACATGTGTTATGAGAAGGTGACAGCTCAGACATGAGCTTTTGATTCTGAGCTCAGCTCCTGGAATGACGTATGGACACAGCTGGTTTTGTGCCTCTTCTGTGAAACCCAAGGCAGCTCCAGATGATCTCTGTCATGTGTGCAGCCAACACCGAGTCTTCCAAGTATGAGGTTTTATTATGTTTTACAACCATGAAAACAGAGGAAGGTGGTTGCTACAACAAACATTTCCGGTGGAGGAATCAGCAGAGCTACACCCACCCCATCCACGCAGCCTCCTCCCACACACCTCTCAGACTGTTCCTGGCGTCCGAACCCTGCAAATTCGAAAATGCTGGTAGGGGACACTGACAGTGGCAAGAACATCCCTGGCAAAATGGAAGCAGAAGAAGGGAAACTTTGAGACACCACTGATGAGAAACACACTATGGCAAAACCTTTTCCACTGTGTTATGATGTCAGGGGTGAAGAGTGTGTTGGGGGCTCAGGGTCCATCAGCCCAGCACACCTGTCATACAGGGCCTTCGGTGACTCCCTCCAAAGGCAAGGTAGGCGCGCTGTCAGCTGTGGGCATCTCCTCCTTCTTCATTGAGGTCGGCACTCGAAGACTGACATACGGTTTATGACAAGCTGTGTTGGCCAGCGGGGGGTAGTGCTGCCTGTAGCAGATGTACGCAAAAATGAGGCCGATCACTCCACCAGCAAAAGAATCTAGGCAGGAAGGAGCAAAATGGGAGAAATGTGTTATTCTTCATTCACACGTAGCCAGTTAAGTTTTCCAGAAAGCACTCTTCTCACCTGCTCCAGGAATTAGTTTTGCAGGACAACCTGGAAAACTAAAGGAAAGAAACCATGCAGTAAGTGTCAACACCAGTGTCTTCTGCAAGCCATCATCCTTTCTAGTGCTTAATAGAAAGGCACTTGATTCTTCCCTTCATTTCTTTAACTCACATCAGAACATAGCCTGAACTCACATTTATTTTCCTGATTTTTAAAGTCAATTCTGAACTCTGAAAGAAGAATTCCAGCCATCTCTCTAGCATGTAGATACTCTCAAGGGGATGTGATTTTTGTTCTCCTCGGCAAATTTCTGCAGGAGTCCTCAGATCTCCTTGGTAGACCACAAAAACCCAGCAGGTGTGCTGGTCTTTGACTGGGGTAAGCAGTTCCCTCAGAGTCACAGACAAAGTCTATGTGCTGCTGAAGTAAGCACCAGAGTCACAGTGAAAGTGAATAAAACATTTGCCAATGCTCCAGGGTTGGCTCAGTCAGCACACTTCTGCAGGGAGGTGTGTGATCCCTCCACTAAGCTGCAAATCTCACAAAGCTGAAGAGGCTATGGGAGGAAGATGAGGCAGGAGAACATGTGGGTAGGCAAACAGGCCCCTCTACCATGGGCCAGCCCCTCACCAAAGAGGGTGGTCAGTTATTGTGCAAGAGACCCCATGCAAGCAGCCCACCACAATAGTTCTCTCTATGTGTGCACTGCCTCTATGAATTATTCTTTCCAAAATTTAACACAGTAGAGAAACTCCCTTAACAAAAGAACTCTTATTAGGATTTGGTATGCTGAACTGACACTTTTTGGAGATTTCTACTAACCCATTTACTATCTTGTTGGATCACACAGGTTTCCTATGAGCACACAGCACCTGGCCTACTTTCCCCAGAACTGGGCTTGAACCCATGTCTTGATTCTGCAGTCTGTGCTGGTCCAGGGTACTATCCTAGACCATGACAAGTTCATTCCAGGTTTGATGACCAGATGACTCTCAGAGGTCCCAGCTTTGACAAAGCACCAAGCCCAAGGGGTAATGAGTGTGTCCGCCTGGGTTCAGGTGAGGACCGTGATTTTCTGTAACGGCAGTACTCGGGGTGGTAAATTCCCTACACTCTCCAGGAAGAAACAGGCTATGTAGAGACCTTTACACGTGCTGTTCTGATCTTAAGCTCTTGAAAATCCTTTATCCTCACCCCCTGCCCTATTAAAGTCCTATTCAAACTTCAGTGCTCAACTCTGTATCATGCAGTAAAGGCCTCATCTGGCTTCTCTTTGCATTAGGCTGAACCCCTAGATCCATACCGCAATAACTCCTCCTCATTCCTCACACAATCAGAGCCCTGACAAATGACAAACTGTGCAACTGCTAAACTTTGAATGCTGGCCTCAGAACTCTATGAGGACAGGGGCCGTGTCTGCCTTGTTGGCTGCTGCTTTCCTCAACACTCAGCCAAAACCTTTTCATAGCAGAACCAAATTTGCTGAGGAAAATGGATGCACTGTGACTCAGCAGTTAAATGTGGTAGTAAATTCCCTAGACCCTCCAGGAAGCAACAAGCTATGTAGAGGCCTTCACAAGGCCTTTACTTGTGTGTCTTTGGGTGAGTCCCTGTCCTGCTCTGGTCCTCTGTTGTCTCATCTGTAGTACAAGAACATAAAGCAAGTACACGGTGGTGAAGAGGCCTTTCTGAATAAATGTTCCAGGAATTAGATCCCCTGGCTTGGTCTCCCAATGCCACATATTGAGATTATTTGGAAACTTTGCCAGGATGCTTTCTGTTGGGATAAAATATCTCTCAGAAACAAGTCATCCTAAAAAAAAAAAAAAAAAAGAAAAAGAAACAAGTGATCCTAATTGGTCAAAGAAAGAGATTGAATTAATTGTCACTGCTTTCTCCACATAAGAGCTCAACTCTAAATTGATAGTGTGGTGCATGTCTACTACCTGGCAGAAAGGCCAGGACACCTGTAAGCACCTGCATAGCCCTGGTGAGCAGCCATCCAGGTAACGGGAGGTGAGAGACACTGGTAAAGTCAAAGCTGTGGGCTTCAGATTGGGGGCCCATCCCTACCCACCTCCAGAGAGGAATGGTTAGCAACGCAGTGGTTACCAGGTCACGGTAAGACACCGAGCACTGAACCTCATCCCCAAACTATGATCTTCCCTGCTGGGGTGTTCTCAGGCTAAGGTGCTTCAGCCTGTCAGGGGAATCACTTCCTGCCTCTGACCCTCAGTTCCTTAGGTTTCAAATGGAGTCCTCAACCTCCACCTCATCAAGTTGGGACAACAATTTAATCATATATTACTTCTAAAAGTTACACCATTGAGCATGTCAAAATAAAATCCATCAAACCTATTGTTATACTGTTCCTGTCTCATGCTATTCCAAAACTCCACTGGCTTTTTGATCCTTCCCCATTCTATTTCTCAACATATTTATCTAAATTTCTAAATTTCTAATCTCTTCAGTATAGCCATATTTTCATAGTATTTTAAATAAACTTCTGATGAATCAAAATAACATTTATCACCGAAGAAACTATAAAGTACTATGTGCTATGAATTCTTGAGCTGAGACACAAACCATGGTTAACATGATTAAATGATGTGGCTGCTCAAATAAAGAATCAGTTCACATAGTCTATGGCCACCAGCCCATACAGTATGCTAGAGCTTTTCCTAGATCAAGGCCTTAGAGTTGCTCTATTGCATTGTTTTGTTTTCTCCGCCAACCCTAGGGAACAGCCTCTCAGAGCATTATTTTTAGTAGCATCTAAAATGATCCACAATATCTACATGTGAGCTATTGGCTATCAAACAGACCGAAGAGTAAAACATATACCTTACACCACTTGACTTTTCTGTGGCTTAGCATCTCATTAGGTGGCTCATTAACCAGAGGCATCAAACCATTGCAATTACATGTTTCCCAGGTTCACTGACACAGCTGTGCATAAGGAAATGGTGATTCCTGCCAAACTGTTTTCCCATTCAGCAGAATAAGAAAAAGCGAAAACGCAGGTGCTGTGAGAGGTATGCGCAGCAACAGGGCAGTGAAAGTCCCTATCCAAGATGACTTCTAGCAAAGGCACTCAGGGCTTTGTCTATTACAAAAGTGATAAACAAGATCCAAAATATAACTTACTTTATGAGGAAGCGTGTCATCAAAGGCCTCAAGTGGGATACAGCTGTATTTTAATGAATTCACATTCACATCCTGTTGATAGAAAAGCAGGCAGGGGACAAACAGGCCCTTATTGGACAAAAGGCACTTGGGACTGATTTCATTCCAAATATGGTAGCATGTGACTAGAGGGTTCAAAGGGAAATGAATGGATCTCAGTGTCCTTGGAATCCAAAACGGTGCTACCTCCTTCTTTAGTACTGGTGTCATTGTTTCAACACACCTGTGTATTGCACGTGTCAGACATGACGGCCAGGCCTAGGACACAAGGCTAAATGACACATACAAGTCCCTTTCATCCCAGAGTTTACTGTCCCACAGGGCAAGATGGACCCCAAGTAGTGACAGCTTCACAGACAGCTGTAGGTGGGATAAGTACCAGGATGTATGGAGGTCTGGGAGCTGGCCCAGCAGAGTGGTTGGGCTAGTCTAGAGCAGTTGGTTCCACTGCAGATGTAACCCCCAGGCTCATCCTTGAAGGATGAGCTTTGTAATAGACAAAGCCCTGAATGCCTGGTTAATGAACCATTAGCCAGGGAAAATAGGGAGGTGGGGCCAAGGAGGAAACTGCAGTTTTCTAGACAGTGGAAAGATTATGTGTGAAACTGCCAAGAAAAGAAGGAAAGCCTGGGCATGTTTGAGAAACTGAAGGTAGCCTAACCTTTGATAGAGGGGTGGTGTCTCTGTAGGACTCGGGGGAATAAGGTGACCAGTCATCTGATATGAGATGGAGAAGAACATTTCTCACATCTCTCTGTAGCTCTGTTGACCCTCAGCATGGCCCAGACATACACTGGCAGTCTCACATCTACCCTTCAGCATTACACCCCACTTCTAAGCCTGTCTTCCGATCATATGGTGTTGCCTAGGTCCCCGGACTGCCTAATTCATTTTTGTTTACCCAAAGATCCAAAGAGTGAACGATAGGTGAACTGAGATGAATTGAACATCATTTACAAGATGCATGACAGAGTCAATGTCACCAGACTCAAAAGGTCACATATGGAATGATTTCAATTATGTACAATGTCTTGAATATGCATGTGTTCACACACACACACACACACACACACACACACACACACACACGATTAGTGGTTACCAGGAACTTGGGGTGGAAATGAGGAATGATGTTAATAGGTTTGGGATTTTGAGGAGTTGATAAAAATGTTTTAGAATTAGAAGTGACGTATGCACAACTCTGAATATGTAAAAAAAAAAAATTCCAATGAACTGTACAATTTAAATGAATTGCACAGTTATTCATTACATAATGAATACAATCATTATGTAAATACCTACTAATATACTACTAATACTGCAAATATCTACTAATAAAAACTTTTAAAATGTTTTAAAAATTAAAAATAAAAAAAAATTAAAAATTAAAAATAAAAATAAAAAGGGAGAGTTTTATGTTTACCAGTTCTATTTCAACAAAGCTATTATTTATCATAAAAAGGGGAGACAGACTGACAAGAGATGAGCTCTAATGACAGTGGAAAAAGTGACTTTGAATCAGGAAACCTGAAAATTGCACTGTCGTGTGTAAAGTGGCCACAAACTCATCTTCTTCTCATGAGGTCTAAGTACAAGAAAAGGCCTCACAAGAAAGGCCTGAACATATGAAGATGCCAGGCTATGTTCACCTGCTTGAGCACACACAAGCAGAAGGGCTTCTGAAGATATGCTATCAAGTCCCCAAGAGGAGTACAGCCCTTGCTGTCACTATGGCAACAGCTAAC